CTACTAGCTCCAATGGGGAATTCTCTACCCATAGCTTCCACACCTGCAAATTTTTAGAATGTTTCTGAAAACAGTACTTAAAAAATAAGTTTTTGAATGGTTATAAATATACTTACGTAGGTCACTAAATCTACAAGACCATCTTCTTCATAAAAGCTACTGTTCTTTCTGCCGGTTATGAGTTCAAGAATCAAGACTCCGAAGCTGTAAACATCCGATTTCACCGAGTATTGCCCGTGGATTGCATACTCGGGAGACATATAACCACTAGCGAGAGAACTTGTTTAATCGAAATGAGAAATCAAATAAATAATTGAACAGTCAAGATTACAAGAGGAAAAAAAAACTTACTATGTACCAACGATTCTTTGAGTATTGGCTTGTGTTTGATCAACACCAAAGATCCTAGCCATACCGAAATCTGAGATCTTCGGATTCATGTCTGCATCTAAGAGTATGTTACTCGCTTTAAGGTCACGGTGGATGATTGTAAGCCGAGAATCTCGATGTAAATATAGTATTCCTCGAGCTATCCCTTCAATAATCTTGTACCTTCTTTGCCAATCCAAAATTCTTCTCTTCTCATTATCTACAAGCACAAAAACAATCTGACTAACCCGAAAACCGAAATTTTCTTTAGAGGTAATGAGTAATGATTTGTTATACCGAAAAGGAAATAGTCGAGGCTTTTGTTAGGAACAAACTCATAGACAAGTATTTTCTCTTCTCCATCTAAGCAATATCCCAAGAGCTTAGCTAGATTCCTGTGTTGTAGCTTTGCGACCACATCAACTTCGTTCTTGAATTCTTCAGCTCCTTGTGTCGATCCTTGAGATAGTCTCTTTATTGCAACTGTTTCTCCGGTTATAAGCTGACCCTGAAATGGGTTTTACACAGAAGAGTTAAGCCTTTTTTGTTTTATTAAAGTATGACTATGATCACAAGAATTAGTTACCTTATAAACTTCACCAAATCCACCATGACCAAGCTTGTTACTTTCTGAAAACTTATTTGTCGCTGCTTCAATTGCACTAAACTGGAATTGCAATGTTTCTGTTGACGTAATACCATCTTCATCTACATTAAGAAAGGGGAATTCTCAAGATCAGTTTCAAACTTTTAATAGATTAGACTAGAAAATGACAAAATTAGCTCAATTCCTTTTTTGGTTATACCTAAATCCTCTGTTTCAGCACTGAGTTTATTCCTTCTTTTTGCTAGTAACCAACACATAGCACCAAGAAGTAACACGCAGACAGAAACCGGTACCGCGACCGCTGTTACTTTAACCGTCGAGCTCTTGCTTTTCCCTAAACACAATTTCAAAAACATATGAAACAGAACAACCTTTTTACCAGATTATGTTCATCAAGAAAACTATCTTGGAGATTTGTGTTAGATTACACCCTTCAACCAAAGAAAAAACAGATCCTGTTTTCAAGATCATTAAGAAACTATCTTGGAGAATTTTTAGATTATAAAGATTAAACCTTTTAAACAAAGACTCTGTTTTTTAAGATCATCAAGAAAACTATCTTGGAGATTTGTGTTAAAGATTTCACCTTCTTCTGAAGGGAGTTTCAGTGGTGGTGCAGCCACCGTAGACAGAGGAGGAGCCATCGTAGCCTCAGCTATAGTTTCATTGTAAAACGGATAAAGCTCATATCTAAAGCTACAACTCGGAGCGATTACTCTCCCGCCAACACTTCGATCACAACATCTAGGCAACCAATTAATCGCTTGTCTCAAACAGCTCTCACAATCTTGATTGGTCAAATCCGGCGTGCACTGCACGAGGCTATAAATCGTTTGAAACACCGTGAAATTCGCTTTCTCTGTAGCGAACTTTCTCGAGCTCGAAGCCGCTTTCACCGCAACGTCGATGAGCAGAGCAGGCAAAGACTCGTTGAATCTGCTCACTTGATTCTCTGTGATGTTTTGCTTGTTCGTCAAGAAAACAGCAGGTCTAATTCTCATTTGCCCAACGATGCTTTGATTAGAGTATCTTAACATACACTCATCGTACCAAATCACTGCCACTTTCTCTCTTGGACACCTGTAAAGCGTTTCGTTGACCGCAAACGCAAGACAATCACGGCAGATTTCGGCTGAGACGTCTCCACGGCAGAGGAAAACACCATAAACTCTGTTGTTATCATTCTCTTCACCAGCGGTTGCGTTATCGAAACGCGATGCGTAAGCTGCGTTTGGAGAGGAGAGAGATGAAAGAACAGTTCGGAGATTGGTTAAGTAAGTGCTGTTTCTTGAGTACGTTGTTGTGTTTGGACATATGTGGTAGAGATAAATTGGATTTGTTGCAGAAGAAACAGCTTTTAAGATCATAAAGAAGAAAATTGAGATCAGAGAAACAGAGGATTTGAAACAAGAAGACATGTTTTGTTTTTTTTTCTCTGTTTTTGAGTTTCTTAATAATCTTCATCGAAATTGAGGGGATTCAAAGTCTAATTTCTACGATTAGTCATTGATAATTAAGATTGTTTAATGAAATTATTATGTTCAAGCTTCAATATTCGTTGGTAAGGCCTGTCAAGATAATGAAATAAAATGTTCTGTTGTCATCATTGACATAATGATCTGATTTAAAAAACAGATTTGGTCAAAGGTTTTGGGAATCATAAAAATTATTTATTCATCATTTCAAGATTGGTTGTCGAATATAAATATTTCATGGAAATTGTTGATTTTTAGTTATTAAAAAAAAAAAAAAAATCCCAGTTAGTTAATTTGTTTTGTTAAAGAAAAAGTTTAAAGCTTTGCGAGGGAACAAAGTAAAAAAAAATAAAAAAATCAAAGCTTTTGGCTTTTTTGGGTCGCGTCGCTAAATTTCTTCAGTTTCTTCTCAATCTCTATAAGGGTTGACTATATGGCGACTAGTTTGCGAAGATTTTTCTCAGTGTCCACTCATGGCGTCTTTTTGAAGAAGCGACCTGGGTTTTTCTCTAGTAGCCGAAGTTTATGCGTTTGCTCTGATCAATCAACTGAATCCGTCACTGTTAATGTTTCTCCAGGTAATGGTTAGTCTCGTTAAGAATTTATACCTTAAAGGTTTGACTTTTGTTTGCATTTAGTTCATCAAGTCATCACGTAAGCCAGGTGTTTGTTGAAATGCCTCTGAGAAAATTATTGCATGATTTTGAAAAGCTTTCAATATTAAAAGTCTGGAATGTGACATTTAGATGGTGAAACATGTTTTATGTGTTGAGATGGTGACATTTGTTTGTATTTTATGTAATGGATTGTTGATGATACTTTTTGTGTTTTGTTGTAATTGTCAAGATTAGAGACAAGTAGTGGAGGTAATGTTGACAACGGGTTTCTAAGATGGCGAAATGGAGGAGGAATGTACCATAGCTCGGCCGCAATTGATTCCTCGGCTCTGGTTGAGTTTGGAGCAGTGGTTCACGAGAAAGCTATATTGGGTCCAGAGGTTCGTATAGGATCTAACACTGTAGTTGGACCATCAGTCGAGATCGGTTCTTCTACAAAGATCGGGTAACGGTTTTGCTTAACGTCTTATACATGTTTTTGAAGAGAATCTTGAAAGATTCTATTCTTGTCTACAGGTATAGTGTTTCAGTCAGCAATTGTAGTATTGGTGATTTATGTGTCATCCATAATGGAGTCTGCATTGGTCAAGATGGTATGGACCAAGTCTGAATTTCACTCAATATGCGTTTTATTTATAAGATCAGATTCTATGTTTTCTTCTTTATCTTCTGAGAATAGGGATTGGATTGTGAGATTTGTCTTTGACTGTTCAGGATTTGGGTTTTACGTGGATGAACACGGAAACATGGTGAAGAAGCCCCAAGTAAGCACACCTAGATTGCCTTCTTGAATCTGAATAACAATATGCAGCACTTTTATCATTCGGTGTTTTTCTTGCCTTCCTTAGACTTTAAATGTGAAGATAGGGAATCGTGTAGAAATCGGAGCAAATACATGCATTGACCGGGGCAGGTAACAGTATATTTCATTGACAAGTTCCCTGTAACACTCTTCTTTAGCTCCATAACCTTTACCATTTCTGCAGCTGGAGAGATACCGTGATCGGGGATGACACTAAGATAGACAATTTAGTTCAGGTTCGTCTTCAATTCTATCTTGCAACTCGTTGTAGATCACAGTAATTGACAACAATATGCTATTATTCTTTACTTAAATTTGCAGATAGGTCACAATGTGATTATTGGCAAGTGTTGTTTGTTTTGTGGCCAAGTAGGCATAGCTGGATCAGCAGAGTAAATGCATCTAATCCCAGCAACCAAATAACTTATGTTCCATTGATTGAAATTGTAAGCTTCTGGGGTTTACAATGCTGTCATTTCGACAATGTGTTTTGTAGGATTGGTGACTATGTAACATTAGGAGGACGGGTTGCTGTTCGAGACCATGTCTCCATTGTATCTAAGGTAAAAACTTGAACTTCATAAATGGAGTAATGAATTTGCTGTGCTTCATCTAAATCCGTGTTTGGTTTTTGGTTATAGGTTCGACTTGCTGCTAATAGTTGTGTTACTAAAAACATTACCGAACCAGGGGATTTTGGCGGCTTTCCTGCTGTAAGAATCTCTCTTTCTCTTCTATTGACTCTCCACTTCCATCTAATTTTCCAGCATTCATCAAGATCCAAGTTTGATTCAATATTTTGTCATGAACCAGTCAAAATAAAAGCCTAAATTGATCCATACCCAACTAAAACAGAGCCGGACTCTGCTGTTGCTTCCCTGATACATTGTTTCGTCTTACAAAACTGTTCTGATTGCAGGTCCCAATTCATCAATGGAGAAGGCAAATTGTTGAAGCCCAGATTTTGAGCAAAAGGAACCCATAACTTATTCTGTTCGCCAGTCTCAGAAAACTTGAGGTAATCTGTTAAAGTATCTGCCAATTGCTTTGAGTTTTTACTTTTACCAAATCTTTTGCAAATGTTTCTTTGATATGTTTAACTCGAAGATCATACATTTAATGAGAAAAACCAAACTCCCAAATCCAAGTTACAAAACGTAAAGAAAGCAAAATCATTCAAAAGGAAAAGTAAAATACAAAAGAGAAAACAGCAAACAACAAACCAATGAATTAATCAATCTAAGTGAAGTAGACTGGACACCGTTTATGGTTAAACTTGGGCAAGATCAACCCGTCTCGTCCAACCACGATATCGCAATTAGCATGCATCCTATGGCGCTTACTGATCCACCTATGGAGTTTAAACCGAATATTTGAAACTATATCTAGCCTAAAACCCACGGTTCCTTGAGCCCGATCATTAGAAAACTCGGTCCAACGGTTACTGTTTACCGTTAAGGAAGCTCCAGTAAGCGTCCCGGTCACAATTGTTGTGTTAGTCGGCTTCTGGAAAAACGGGTTTAGCAACGGGATCGACCCGACCCGTTGATCTTTGTAGTAAATGAAACCGTCCATGGAATCAAAGTAAACACCCATATGTTGGTTAGGGTTAAGTATAGTTACATTGAAAGCAATTCTTGCGTTTTCGACTCCGGTAGGTTGGTCTAGACCTTGTACCACGAAGTCTTGGATATGGAACCGAGGTCGATGAGGGCGTAAACTGAGCCAAAGTATGAAAGCAATGACGCCTACAAAGAACAAAACCAAGAGAAACATTGCGCAGATGAATTTCGATATCCGGGTTGAGAGGCTTTCTCTGACACGGTGAGCGTAGTAGCTAGCCGAATGGTGACGCTTCATGGGTTGGGCTCGGGGCACGGGACTGGTATGGATCGGGATAGTTGTTCGATCTGGTGTCATTGTGCTTTGATGATTTTCTGGCAAAAAAAGACTAGGGAGATTTTGAGCATGAAAGCTTGGAGTGTATGAGTTATGTACGAGGAAGAAAAGTAAATAGTTCTTGAAGTGTTGGAGTGTAGGAGTTATGTATGAAAGAAGAAAAGTAAATAGTTCTTGAAGTGTTTGAAGAAGAAAGGAATCAGATTACGTAAAGTGAACACATTGTATCGGAAACTTTTTAAACTATTTATTTTAAAAACTCAAGAAGGCTCTATATGGGCCAGGCCCAAACGAGGTCCATTTGATGATATGAGAATAAAACACTTTAGATCCGTTTACCAACTTGATACAAAAATCATTATGCAATGCAATGGTATGAAGAGGAAAAAGCCCATGCAAGACGGTTTAGACTTTTTTTTATTTAGTGAATCTTCTGAAAAACCATACCCAAAAACAAAACCGAAAGTAAGTTTGCTTATAATTCTTCACTTAAGTCAATTAATATCCATTATCCAGAACAAAAAAAATAAAAAAATTGGTTAAGATATCTTATTATATAAAGTATGGTGTTCAAAGTTAATAACTCACGTGATCGTGATACGTGTCAAATTTTTTTATCTGAGTTTTTGACATGTGTCAAATAAAATTTTCTTTTTTTTTAAAAAAAAATGATTTTAAAAAATTATAAATTTAAACAATTTTAAAATGTAAAAAACTAATTATAAAAAAATTGTACATATATTTCCATAAGAGTTTTTGCCATCTAGCAACAAAAATTTGTGTTTTTAAAAGATAATTATAACAAAATTATAAATTTAAACAGTTTTAAAAATATAAGAAGATATAATAAGAAAACTATACATATATAAGGAATTTATAGGTATATTTCCATAAAATCAAAATTATAAAATTATGTTAAACGTTTGATTTATAAATTACTAGCTGTACGAGAAAAATATTTAAAATTAGAAAAAAATAAGAAAATTATACAATCAGTTATTAATCCTATAAGAAAAAGATAGTAAATAGTCACTTTTTATATAAACAAATAGATTGTCTCATATTTCTCATCAAGCAAACTAATTTCTTAACAATGTTATATCATATCAATTATAAAAAAATATTTCGAATCACGATATTACTCTAAAAATAGCATGTGATATTCAGATCTAATGAATATATGGCAATTGAGGCAAATTAATAATTATTAACGGCGATAGACATAGACTAGAATTATTGTCGGAAAGGCTTGGACTAATGTCGGAGGAGATAAAGAAGGTGAAGTAATAAGAGAAGTTGGAAAAAGAGGATAAGAGGCGGTAATAGTGGTGTTGGTGTTGATGATGGTTGTTCAAGTTTGGTGGTGGTGACGGCAGTAAATATTGATAAAGGTGGTGAGTCGGAATTAGAGAGATTCAGTATTGATGGTGGTGGTGATTGTGATAGTAGTGAGATTCAGTTGTGGTGGTGGGTTAGAGTAGTGAGACTCGGTAGTGATGCTCGACGAATGCGAGAAATGGAGATAGGAAAAAAAAAAGATATAGTGGTGAAGAAATCCGACGAGAGGGAGAGAAGGAGAAAGAAAGAGGAGTTCGAGCAAAAATAAGAGAAATCTAATGAGATATACATAGAGATTTGAGAATTAGAAAGAAGAAAAAACGAAGAAATTGGTAATATGAGCATAAAATGACAAAAGCTATGTAGCAAATAGATAATGTTTAGTCTGATGTGGTTTTCTTAATTTTCTTTTAGTAGTGTATAGTCTCTAATTCTTTATAAGGTTTTTTTTTCTGTTGAGGATATTTCATATTATCAAGTAAAGTTACATGACATAGGTATAGACGATCTCATATGTTCTCTTCTTTTATTGTTACAACTAGGATCGGACCCGCGGTCCACCGCGGGAGAATATTGGTTTACATACGTTGCATTTAATATTGTGTGTGTTTTTTAGTAGAACGAATCGTGTGGTATACTTATAAATATTCATAATAACGAATTATAGAGAAAATGTAAAATTGTTTATAAATATACCCATCGTATTAATTATGATTTACAAAATAGAATTTTGTGTTTTAAAATTCTAAAATTAGACGATTCATAGGAATTAAAGCAGTCAAAATAGGTCAAAAACCGCGGGTCGAGCCCACACCATCTCACTATAGGGCAGATTTGGGAAAATATATTAAACTCGCAAATAAGCGGGCCACATGGATTAATTCGCAGTGGGTCATAGGTTTAATCGGTTTTCATCCGCGGATTGGCGGATCAGCCCGCATATTAGTATTTATTGATAAAATTATAATTTATTCAACATGTGGTAATTTAAACAAACTTTTAATAGTATTTTTATTTATTTATTTATTTTAGTAGTATTTTAAATTTTGGTTACTTTAAAATTATTTAAACAAAATTCATGGACAATCCCGCAAATCCGCATACATTCGCGGGATGGGTTTGTATTTCATATATGCTACCCGCGGGTCGTGCGGACCGACTAACTACAAGTCAAAATATTTTTTGTCTATCGCAAAACGGACTTAACGGGACGAATCAACTCGCTTTGACAGTTCTAATGGGAATATTATTTAGTCATACAACAAAATGAAGTTTGTACATAGTAATAATAGAATATGTATCTTATTTGTTAGATGAGAGATTGAAAGATGAAGTATAATGATTAAAAATTAATTATTATTTTTCATGATTCACAAAATTTAATAAATACTTATCATCTTGTTGAATAATTCTAAAATCATATTCAATAAATCTTTATAAATTGAAAATTAAACTTCTTTGGTAAACTATAGGTATGAAAATATCATAATTTCGATTTAATCTAATTAAATTAAAATTAGTTACATGGATTTCATATCTATTTAATTTACACAACTAAAATAAAAATATCTATTTAATTTACACGACCAAAATAAAAATATCAATTTAATTTATAAAACAGATGGGTTATTTGTGATAAATATTCTAGAAATCTTTAGAAGCAAATAAAATATCTTTCAATTAATGATAATTGGCTAAAATGAGCGAAATTAATGACAAAAACGTTGATTGTTATGGAATTAGTCCCAAAAATATATGAACAAATTTATTATACGTAATTAATGTATAATATTGTTCGGAATATGCTTTTATTATTAGTTATCATAAGTACAATCAGATTTTATTTGATTTCCATAAATATTTGATTTTATTTCGATTTTTTATTATTAATTCGAATTTATATTCCAAAAAAATTCAAAGATCAGATTTCAAAATTTCGGGTCAATTTTCTGATTTTAACCCGATCCATTTTCATTTGTACTTCTCTTTTAATAGTATAGAGATTTTATTATGACGTCAAACTTTTCTAAAAAAACATCTATATTTATGTAACTCAGATTATATGTTTACATATTATACATATATCATTTATATGTTTATGTAACTATATAATTTTATCTTTTCTTATTGTCATTGTTTTGTTTCCATCTTACCCACATTAAAATTATAAGATGTAACATACTCTTCCGATGAATGTAAATAACTTATTAAAATTCAATAATACAACATATGAACATTTATGACTTCGTAACTTATAATAAGCAAAAAAGTATATAATTTTATAAATAGGCCAACATTTATATTAGATAATTTAATAATTAGTATAACATAACTATAAATAATGTTTTATATTCGCATTATTCTAATAAATCTATATTTCAAAATAATTATGATGTATCTTCTAAAATACATATCTTTATAAAATTTTAGTTAAGCTTACAAAAATAAAATAAAAATATTAAGAATGATAATCTCGACCGGCAACCCGTGCAACACACGGGTCCATATCTAGTTATTTATATAAAAAAAAAAGAGATCTAAACAACTAGAACTTTAATCTAGATTTCCATTTTCCACACATATTTTGTATTTTATCACTATTCTCAAGATTGTAAATATTTAAGAATCCATGGAAATAGGTCGTTTTAGTTAACACTTACCACATTATGCGGAAACTTTAGTTACAAAAAGTCCGAATTTAATAGCATCTTCTCACATTTCACTCTTTTCTTCATCAGTCTCTACATTGATCTTCAAACACCATTGATACGATTATGGATGTGTTCTTCGAGACTCGGAGCGGCTTCACGTTCGAGATTGAATTGGGTTATTGGGATACAGTTTTGGAGATCAAACAGAAGATCGAGAAGTATCAACAAATCCCTGTTTCCAAACAAACCCTTTTCTTTCAAGGCAATGTTCTTCAAGATCATCTTGATATCGAACAATGTGTGATCCTCAACCACTCTCGTATCCAACTTTTCATCTCTTCTCCCGACCAAAACCGTAACAATCAAGTGTTCAAAACCGAGCAATCTCCACAGTCAAACTCAAAAGAACAGATCACTAATAATGGTCATCAAGATTCACCTGTGATGATGCCAATGAGCAACAACAACAACAACAACCCAAAGAAGCTGAGAGTAATGGTGCTACCAAAATGCGGGACTAGGAAGATTCCGGTGGAGGTGAACGCAGGGGATAATGTTGGAGAGCTGAGGAAAGAGTTGGCTAAAATTCAACAGAGGTTACAATTAAGTCTGCCTCAAGAAGGGTATTTCTTTATATACAAACAGAATGTAATGGACGAAAACCGGTCATTCCGGTGGCACCGTGTTGATCACGGCGACACGATTGAGATTTTCAACGGAAGTGTTTCCGGTGGCTCTTAATGCCCTACCATTTTTAAGCTCAAGTCTCTGCAATCTCCTAATTTCTAGTAGCTTTCAGTCAATTTTTTTTAAGTTTCTTGCTTTCTTCTAAATTGTATTTTCGTTTCACTGCTTTCTACAAATATGCTTAAGAAGATCTATGACAAGTAATTTTCGTTTAGGGTTAATAAAGGGCTCGGATCTATATGTTTCTAAAAGCGCATCTTTAAGAAACACGTAATTATAAGCATTCTTTTTCATTGACTTAAGAAACACGTAACCTAGAAGGTTAATTTGGGCCAAGCCCAAATAAGGTCCATTTGTAACGTGAATTAAATGATATAAAACCAGATTATGATTCATCAGTCTCTCCACTTGATCTTGAAACACTATTGATACAATTATGGATGTGTTCTTCGAGACTCAGGATGGCTACAAGTTCGAGATTGAATTGGGTTACTGGGATACAGTGTTAGAGATCAAACAGAAGATCGAGAAGTATCAACGTATCCCTGTTTCCACACAAACCCTTGTCTTCCAAGGCAATGTTCTTCAAGATCATCTTGATATCGAACAATGTGTGATCCTCAACCACTCTCTTCTCAAAGTTTTCGTCGCTCCTTACAGTAGCGCTAATAATAACAACGATCAAATGCTTCAAACGGAGAAATCTCCACTGTTAAACTCAGCCAAAGAGATCGTTAACGTTCAAGATTTAGCCTGTTATGGTGAGAAGCAACAAGAAAGTCTGCGACGAGCATAAAGGTTGGGAGCAACGGTTCGAACCCAGCAATCTCCAGCGTCGTTAACGCTCAAGATTCCCCTTGGAAGCCTGTGAAGCTGACTGGTTGATGCATCTAGATATTTGGAATCTCCCAATATCTTTCATTATTATCTACAATATATAATTTTTTTTATATTTAATTTAGTTATAAGTTTAGATAATTATAAGATTATATTAGATTTTATCTAGGTTTTTTTTTTTTTTTAATGATCATGATTTTATAAGATTAATTTTTAGAGTTAATCTAGGTTTTTGATCATTGTTTCATGCAACTTTTGATTAATTGAGATTTTATAAAAGAGCTTAAAAGTCATTCGAGTAGAACGATACAATTAAGATTCAATTTGTAGGGAAATTGTACTTTTCCATACTTGGAACAAAAACTATGATACATTATACAACAAAAATGTTATGTAAACAATTTCAGTCTTAATTGCATCACAAAATTCGTTTTCTGTTTCACAGCTTTCAGCAAATATTCTTTTAAGAATTTTGAGCTGAAACTTGTTGTTATTATTGAGTTGCCTCTTGTCAGAAGCAGCGATCAAATTTAGCCTTACGCTATGCATTCACCAAAAAAACTTTCCCTGGTCTAATTGACATTTCTGAAATTCCTCAAAGATCAGGCATATAGAGAAAGTATAATAAGATCAAATGTCAAATCATTCTTGACAAGAAGGGCAAAAGGTAGATTCTGTTATGTTTAGCAAAAGCTTTGGAATAATGCAGAAAAACTTGAATCAATTTGGAATATTTCGAGATGTATGAATATGTTTTGTTGATACTCTAAGAGAGAAAAAAAAAAAAAACTTGCTTCCTGTAAATTATAGTTTACATTTCTTCACTAGAAATTCAGAAATAGTTCAGATGACTTATGAAAAAAACTCTGATCAAATCAGAATCATAATAATGATGGCTTATTGTGTTTATGACTTTATCATTTTTGTTTCAACTTGATCTGCTCAAAATTGAATTTAACTAGGAACTTGTGATTTTAATCACCAGTAAATCAATTTTCTTTTTTTTTTTGGTAAGGAGTAAATCAATTTTCTTTATTTAGAGGCAAAACAACAGTAGAAATTTAAAAAAAAAAAAAATCGTAAAACCCTAACCGAAAACTTCTCTAACAAGTTACATTTAATTAACATGAAGTGAGAAAAGAAAAACTCGGATATAAGAAATACGACGAAGAACAAAGAAGAATTGCTATAACAACATATCGCCTAAGAAAGATAATTGAAGTTAAAGGCTCTAAAGAAGAATTGCTATAACAACATATGGCCTGAGAAAGATGATTGAAGTTAAAGGCTCTAATTGGTTGCATTTTTAGATGAATATTTTATGATTATAAAAACAATTATTCAAATTTTACCAAATAAGATGAAAATATATATATATATATATATATATATAAATTATTCATCCCATTTCATTTCATTCCATGTGAGTTAGATGAATATATATATATACACATTATTCATTTCATCTTATTCCACTATTACTTTTTCATCTTGTTCTTTTAAGTGACAACCATTTGCCTTCAAAGACTTTCGAATTGAAATTTGGGAGGAACAAATACGGGTCGATTTTTTGGGTTAATGGATCATATCTAGTTTTTTTTCATAAAACACAGCGTTTAGTTTTAACCACTTCGATTCCTAAGTTCTTGCAAAATGCCACATTTACCATTGGATTATTTTAGTAAGAATATAGCTATTAACGGTTTAGAGCAAGCCCAATGGTAGAGTTCTTTAAAAGACTCTTAAACATTTTTTAGTTATAAATTATGACAATTTCAAAATTAAGAGTTTATGTTGAATCCTAAAAAAAAATTGTGTCCAATGGTAGAATCCTTAAGTGGGTTTCTTAAAAAAAAATGATAGAAAATTAAGCTTACTATTAAAGATGATGAAAAAACTAAGCTTACCATTAAAGATGATGAAAAATTAAGCTTACATCAGACAAGTCTAAATTAACGAGGCTGCATCGTCATCAAGATATTTATATCACTACACAGTCCAACTCAACAAAATTAAGCTTAGATGATGAAAAAAATCATATGAGAAAAGAATTGGTGTGAACACTTTGCATCAGTGACAACATTGGTAAATGACTCATCAGCATAAGAAAATATAAGAGTTAAAAGAATTGAGGAAATAGAACAATGAGTATGATAAAGAAGTCTGAAAGATAGCATGCATGATCTTTCTGATGTAAAGCTTTTAACATGAAGTCTACTTCATGATTCCTTTTCTTAAATAGAATTTTCACTGCATGCGGCTTGAAGGCATTCCACTAGCAATGCCGTGATAGTTAATGGAAAGCAACTCTTAAACACTTGAACCATACTGAGCATTAGATCTTTCTCCTGAGTATCTGTAGAATTTCTTTTAGCAGGTGCAGACATGGCATAATCTGTTCAATATCTCCCTTGAAACCAACTGCAAATGAAACAAGTACCATCATGATCATTCTAGCACTCACTCACTCACTAAAGCACATATCTGTTATGTTATGATGAACACAAGGGAACCAACAAAAAAATCAAGTTACTACGTCACAAACTAAACTAGCCTAGAAGGAAAAAATGTTATCACACAAATCATAAATTCGATTAACACTTTTCTAAAAACTATCTCTACGAAAATATGACGCCTAACGTAGGTTTAATTATCAGAGAGACTAAGAAACATAATATATCAAAAAATGTGACTATCCGAGAACAAATCTAAACAAAGAAGAACAGTAGCATGAATCAAATTATGAGATTACGAAAGCTAAGTTAGCAGGAATCAAATTCAGGAAGGAGGAGCAGTACGAAAGCTAAGTTTAGGAGAAAGTGAATCAGAAGTTAAAATCAAACAGATTCTTAACATTGATCGACCATTTCTTAATCAAATCAACGCATAATCGTCACCTCTAACACATAAATGTTCACTGATTATGATCAACGATCGTCAATCGTCGAACCTTAACAAACCGAAGCTAGAACAACGCCTGACAGTGAGATTCTACTCAATCGACGAGCAACGAGAGTAAATCCTTACCGGTTGAATCGCTATACAGTTGTATATGTGGTAGGCGCTACCGGTAAACGTTCAACGGCAACAAGACGACGGCACCAGAGAGAAAAAATCGCCGACGGAATTCGGAAAAAACAAGGCAAGAGAGAGAGACACGGGAATTTTTTTTTTTTGTTTTCTCACTTTTTCGAACCAATGACGCGGTGACACGTAGCACCTCTTAACAGCCCAAAAAACTCTAAAACAAGAAACGTTTCTTTGATTTATTATCTGTTTTGATTTAAATTTAGGGTTTTTATTATAAGAACTAAAGCTTAGAACCCTTTAAGAGCCACCATTGCTGTTGCTCTTAGATCTTCGACAAGGCTTTCATTGACTTAAGAAACACGTAACCAAGAAGGTAAATATGGGCCAAGCCCAAATGAGTTCCATTTGATACGTGATATAAAACCAGATTATGAGTCAAAGTACTTAAAACAACCACTTTCTCTCTCTCCACTCTCTTCTTCATCAGTCTTTCCATTGATCTTGAAAGTTGAAACACCATTGATACGATGGATGTGTTCTTCGAGACTCAGAGTGGCGACACGTTCGAGATTGAATTGGATTATTGGGATACAGTTTTGGATATCAAACAGAAGATCGAGAAGTATCAACGTATCCCTGTTTCTAAACAAACCCTTTTCTTCCAAGGCAAAGTTCTTCAAGATCATCTTGATATCGAACAATGTCAGATCCTCGATAACTCTCGTATCCAGATATTCGTCGAACCGGACCCTAACCCTAATCACAACAACGATCAAGTGCATCAAACCGAGATATCTCTACCGTTAGACTCATCCTATGAGATCGATAGCTTTCAAGATTCCCCTGTTTCGACGAGCATGAAGCTTGGAAGCAACAACAATGATCATCTGCTTCTACCGGAGAATTTTAACTCATCCAATGAGTTCGATAACTTTCTGGAATCCCCTGTTTGGACGAGCATGATGCGTGGGAGCAACAACAATGATCATCTGCTTCTACCGGAGAATTTGAACTCATCCAATGAGATCGATATCTTTCAAGATTCCCCTGTTTGGACGAGCATGATGCTTGGAAGCAACAACAATGATCAACTGCTTCTACTGGAGAACTCTCCACCGTTAAACTCAGACAAAGAGATCGTTAACACTCAAGGTACACCTGAGAAGCATATAACGTTGAGAAGCATTCCAATGGTGATGAGACCTAAAGTTCAAGCGCTTCAAACCGAGAAATCTCTGCCGTTAAACTCATCCAGTGATCTCGATAACTTTCAAGATTCCTCTGTTTCGACGAGCATGAAGTTTGGGAGCAACAACAATGATCAAGTACTGCCTCAACCGGAGAGATCTACACCGTTAAACTCATACAAAGATATCGCTAACACTCAAGGTCCGCCTGTGAAGCGTATAAAGTTGGGAGGCATCAACAACAGTCATCGGGAGGTGAGGAGCTATAAGACTGCCCCGGGGCAGATGATGTCAGTACTTGTAAAGCCATATTACGGTGAGGGTAGAGTTGGGACGAATATTTTTGTGACTGTGAACACGAAGGATCAAGTGAAAATACTAAGAAACGAGTTGGCTCAAAGCCAACAGAGAGGTGAAATAAATCTGCCTCAAGATGGTTATTTCTTTATGCACAGAAATGAAGTATTGAACGAAGATAGGTCATTTAAGTGGAACGGTGTTATTCCTGAAGACTTTGCAGTTGAGATCCGTCCCAGAAATGTGAACCGTGGCTCTTAAGTCACATTTGTTTTGAGTTGCAATATAGTATTTCCATACATAGAATAAAAAGTATGATACATTTTGCAACAAAAACGCTACTATATTGAAGGTTTTAACTCTCTGCAGTCTACTGATTTTTTTATAGCTTTTAATCTTTCTTCAAGTTTCTTTCTTTGTTCAAAGTTTTTTCCGTTTCACAGCTTTATGCAAAAAAAATATTCGAAGACATTCTCCAAAAAAAAGTATAAAGATCAAATGTCAAATCTTTGTTGATAAAGAAGATTCAGTTTGGTTAAGCAAAATAATGGCATAACGAAGAAAATGTTAAATCTATTTCAGAATATATTTAGGATAGAGGGAGACAGAACATAAGAGCATGTATATGGGTGATACTCATATAGTATTATTAGGAATTTTTTAGTATTATTTATAATGTTTATTTATTGTTTGAGATTTTTTATGATACTCTTACTAAATATGTTTGCATTGGTGAGACCGGTTTAAATATCATAAAAAAAAATTGCAAAATGAAAATTTAATATATTAATCCTAATTATTGATCACGGTGGTCTTGTTTATAATCACCACAAGTTTTGTTTATTAAGCACATGGTCTATATAGACTATAATCACAAACTCGATGCTCGTTCATGGTTTGGAACTACAGCATATATGGTTGACAAAAAGAAAGTTACACGTTGCTAATTCATTATCTCAGTTAAGCTAGTTCTTGTTTTAATAATGTTCTGTTTAATCGACTGGTTGGATTTTGTCTTGGTTCGCCCATTAGCTCAGTAACGTATACGTTAAGGGTCAACTTTTAATAATTGATAGCTTTTTCATCGTTATCATACCAACAAACTTTAGATAATCGGGTTAATAACACCTTTAAGCCAAAATAGTAGTATCATAGGATCCAATACCAAACGAACAAGACAAAAAATCAACCAAAGGGTTTTTAACCTTCGTGACCATAATAACTTGTAGTTTCTAGAGAGAATGATCACGATAAAAACAAGTCTGCAAGTCCTAATGCCGAATACTCCTTAACCATTCATATCACACAAGCCCTAAACCCGGAGGAAGTGTCAGGCCATAGCACCACCACCTCTACCACCAGTCTAATGGAGCATCGCATCGATCTCATCACCGTCCTCCATTTCAAGCTGTAGAATTCAAGAATTATTAGCATCAGAAACTATAAACTTCAAAGGTAAAAAAAAAGCATGTAGATTGAATGTTATACCTCATCAGGAGTTTGCTCAGCACGCAGACGACGGCCATCAAACAAGAAAGCAATGGAGTTCATGTCCACAGATTGCCGGTCACAGTAAGCATTCATTAGCTTCTTCAGCTGGGTGCTTCTCTTGATCCTAAAGAACACCTCGTTTCCATCCTATACACAAACATATACAATTAACAATATGATTCTGATCTTGGTGAAAAGACATTGTCAATAAAGGTTAGAGACATCATATGAAACAATAACTAAATCTCATAGCTCTCTTTTGATAGTAACATGAAACACTCTTTAAGTACATATCACCAGTTCATTCAATGTAAGGCTTTGTCTATGAGAATTCCAAGCACACACATTAGCCAAAGCATTTGAAAACTTACTACAGAGACTACAACTTCATAATTATTTGACAGCATATTCACAATCTTAAGAACATTCAACAACAATTTCAACTTTTCCCTTCTAAAAACTAGGAAACCCTCAAATTATAACAGCAACCACAAGTTTTATAGGCAACTTATACCTTAAAAAAAAAAAAAAAAAAGAAAGACCGACTAAGACTGAGCTAGTAGTGCGAAACCCTAGATTTACAAAACCAGAAAGCACCCAAATAGGAAAGAAAAACCCTAATCGCAGCTCACGAGACCTTGAAATCAGAAACCCAAATCGTCACAAGGATGAGAACAGAAAGAGAGATACATATCGGAGGAGAAGCGGAGGGAGCGACGACAGGATCTGCGGAGGGAGCGACGGCAGGATCGGCAAGGAAGGCGGAGGAGAGGAGAAATCGAAATCGCCGTCTAGAGTTTCTGGGATTTCACGGGAGAGAGGAGAGAAGAGAAATTTTTTTTTTTTTTTTTTCTGTTTCGGCAAAACGAATTTAAGAACCAGTAATACATTGCCACGTCATATGATACCCAGTATCAAAAGTATCACTCCAGTGATACGGATCAAGCCCAAAAACAATGTTTGGTCTATTAAAAATTATTTTCTGGGCTTCTGATACCCATAAAGTATCACCTATGGGTATGGTCTAAGGCGTGAGCTAGAGAACATAAGGCAGATTCAGTTTGGTTGAGCAAAATATTTGCATAAGGAAAAACATTTTAATCTATTTGAGAATATTTTGTGATATATGCATCCTTCTGTTATATATTCATGCACTAACCCACATTTATACACCCTGATTATTTTTGCTCTTAATTAGTCCATCATTTGTAAAATAAAATCCGTGAAAGATACGTATTTATTTTTGCTCTTTATATTATTCAATAGTCATGCATCGAAAGACACGTATAGAATTTGTTCATTCGACTTGGATCATCTCGTTTTCATTTCTTTTGTAGGCTTTCATTGACTTAAGAAACACGTAACCCAATAGGGCCAAGCCCAAATAAGATTCATTTGATACGTAAATTAAAGGAATAATTGGGGAACTAGTACGTTTATGAAAGATAATAGGGAAACTAGTACGGGTACTATTTATAATTGGAACAAACACCCAGTTTGCACTGTAGCGACTTTTGCCCTGACCCATATACCATCCAAATATCATCTATTTACCATCTAATGCCATTACAGTCTTTGTTGAAAAGATTAAAAAAAAAAATTGTTCTCTCTCTTCTTCTCTTCGTCTTCTCCGACGACTCCACGGCCATGAATTGTTCTCTATCTTCTTCTCTTCGTCTTCTTCGTCTCTCTCTTTGTTCCCTTGTTTCTACTCTCCGATGGCTCCATCTTGTCGACAGATCAGCGAAAGATCTCCGTTGGTGAACCAGCAGCGTCAAATCACCTCCTTCTTTGGGAAATATGCTTCCTTTTCTTCTCCATCTCCATCACCTTCACCACCTCTGTCCAATAAGAAAACCCCCAAATCTATCAACCCTAACCCTAATTCTCCGTCTCCGTCTCCGTCACCATCTCGTGCAGCGGAGGCTCTAGTCGGTAAGTTTTGTGTGTGGCTTAGATAGGTTACAGAACAAGTTTGGATTTTTACCTGGTTTTGCTTTGGTTTCTCTGTTTAGGGTTTAAGGGTTCTGCTTAGTCTCTCTGGTAATTACTGATTAAGTGGTTAGATAGGAAATTGGATATGAAAGTTGTGAACTTTATGCTATTCGATGGCAAATGGGTGACTGAGAAGAAGAGCAAGGAAAGAGGATGTTAGACTTTTTGTTAATTGCATTTTACAATTTTGCAGGAACTTAGAGTTGGCTGTGAAGTCAAGTGAAGGTGCAAGGAGGTCTACAAGACTGAGACTTCAGCCTTTGCGAAAGCCAAAGTCAAGCCCGAAGAAGAAGAAACCCGTTAAACTCCATTCAAAGATGCCCAAGAAACCTCCCACTGCTTTCTTCTTTTTCTTGTAGGTACTCTCCCTCATATGAATCCAAATTGTTATCTATATATTTAAGCTCAGCTGGACTTCCTTGCAGTCCTCTCTTAAGGAAAATTTTGTGTGGATTTTGCCATTGGACTTTAGGATGAAATTATTTATGTTGTTATGTGTTCTGGTTACTTTAGAAAACATACAACGAAACACCTGTTGTATATGCATTTTCCTCTTGCCTCATATTGCCTTATCTTTTTGGTTCCAAAGGGAGGATTTCCGGAAACAATATCAAGAGGAGAACCCGGAGGTCAAGTCCATGCGTGAGGTTGTAGAGAATTAGTTTGTGGTATATGAATTTAAAACATGATGGCTAATTGGAGGCAACGGTATACCAGTTTCGCCGGAAGTGGCTAACGGTTTGAAGAATGATGAAGCTTACGGTGTCGTTTTGATGAGAGTGGTGATTTTAGGGAGGCTCCGATGGAAAGCTGGTGCGATTAAGACTGGACGGTATGGATTTTATGCAAGGTGTGATGTGTGGTTGAGATTTAATCCATCTCCTAATGGACAAGTTCCTCTTCTCGCTCCGTCAACTTGTAAAGTTGATGTCTAGTCTTTTTTTTTTTTTTTTCTTTTCTTTTTATTGATGTCTAGTCTTAATTTTGTTTTGTAATGTTTTTTTTTTTAAAAATCTTTGTGTTTTTAAAAAGTTTGAAAATGGAAATTAGAATTGTAATTTTTTTTTTTGTAATCATGTTAGTGTTGAGTTTCGTCGAGTCTAGTGTAATAAATGATTAAGAGCATAAGCCAAAAATTATAAGTACAAGTATTTCTAATTTACATTCTACTTATGATATTTATTTTATTTTTCAGTTGTTGGATCTGTGGATGTTAATTAATGAAATTTGACTATACAAATATGTTGTCTGTAATAGCGAATATTGGCATATGGTGAGTTCATCGACACAACAGCTCATTGTGTTGGTCTGACATATGGCATCTTCATGCAAATCTCATTTGGTTTGATCATATCGTTTTTTTTCCACAATTACGGAACTATTTTCTTATGATAATAATGATAGACTTAGAATTCGTATTATGCTTTGCAGTTTTCCGATTTAGTGACTTTTCTTGTAAATTTGTTTCGGTTGTTCCGATTCTTCTGAAAATTTGTTACATTTTTAGTAGTTGTGCTTCACAAGTCAATGTTTTGAATGAAGCGTTCTTTTTAAATAAGTGGATAGTATTTTATTTCTTCGAATCTTTTTTAAGTTATCGTGAGTCATAGTCATCACGTTAAATGGAAAGTGTAAAATCGAAATCATATTTTTAGTCCGATTTTAGAGATGAACGAAGGAGTATGGTTTTGATATCACAACATTCTCTTTTTAAAATGTTCATATAGAATTCTCTGTGTTTTCTAATTTATTTAGCCTTTTAACTTTTCTCTACAATTGATCGGATCCTCTAACAAAAATGGTGTTGCCACCAATTTTGTACAGTACAAACTGATTAATTCTCCAATTTTGAATAGTAAATTAGAGCAGTCGTTCAAGATTTATGACCGATTTAGTGCACACATATCAATATGACGTAGACGCATCCGAAATTAGAAACCTCTAGCTTTATTTCAGATTCAGTTCTCTAATTTTTCTTGGCTATTTTTGTGTTTACGACAAAGCTCTTTTTTTTTTTTAGAAGAATGATTTTTAGAGAAAGAGAAGAGAAGAAGAAAGGAAAACAAATGAGGAGAAAGAGGAAGATGTACAGTTTCGAAGGAGAAGAGAGAAAGAAAAGAAATATGCTGCAAAGAGAAGGTAGGGAAAAACTATTCGGACATGGGTTCTCCAGCAAATTAGTTCATATGTGAATGGCTTCTGTACAGATTACATATCGTACATCTAGGTTGATGTACAAATAGTATTCTGTTCACATCTATGGTGGCTGTACAGTCATTCTGCTGTACAGTTGTCCTCTGCTGTACAGTGGTCTACATCTGTACAGGCATTCTGCTGTACAGTTGTCTTCTGCTGTACAGTGGTCTACATCTATACAGTCATTCTGCTGTACAGTTGTCTTCTGCTGTACAGTCATTCTGCTGTACAGTTGTCTTCTGCTGTACAGTGGTCTACATCTGTACAGTCATTCTGCTGTACAGTTGTTTTATGTACAGTGGTCTACATCTGTACAATGATTTATATCTCTTTATATATTATTTGTACAGTGTTTGTTAATATAAATTTTAAAATTTATAAAACAAAATGCATATCAAATGATAGAGAAAAAAACATAGATTTTTATGTATATAATCAATTTTAGAAAAATAAAATTTACAAACGAGCATTTTAGTTATTAAACTATGAGGGAATGAAATATAATAAAGAAAAAAAAAAGAAATTTAAAAAAATAAAATTCTGACCACACTCTCTCACACTCTCGCACACACTTTTTTTTCAAGAAAAAAGAAATTAAAAAAAAAAATTACACTCTCACTGACACTTTCTCTCTCACACTCACACTCTCAAACGTCTCACACCATCTCTCACACTCTTTCTCTCTTACACTCTTTCTCTCACGAACAATTGTAAATAGTACCTGTACTAGTTTGCCTATTATGTTTCTAAAACGTACTATATTCCCAAGAAACCCTAAATTAAACGATATAAAAGGGCCGAAATTTTCTGAACAAAAACACTGAAACAGTGTGATGATCTCTCTCTCTCTGTCCCTCTCTCCCTCCCTCTCTTTCATCAATCTTACGTGATGGACCACAATGAATAGATACAAAATCTACCTCTCTTCACTCTCTTCTTTACCAGGCTCCATTGATCTTGAAACACCATTGATACAGTTATGAAGTTTCTCGTTGAGATTCTGAGTGGCTCATCGTTCATGATTGAAGTGGATAAAACAGATACACTGTTAGAGGTCAAACAGAGGATCGAGAAGTCTCAACGTATCCCTGTTTCGAAACAAACCCTTATCGTCGAAGGCATTGTTATTCTTCGAGTGGATCTTAACGTCGAACAATGCCAGATCGTCCACGATTCTCATGTGCAACTCGACGTCTCTTCTGACGATAACCCTAATCATAAGGAAGATCAAATGCCGCAAACGGATCCATCTCTAGAGACAACCCAAGATATCAGTAAGATTCAAGATTCTTCTCTGAAGGTGTGGAACAACTTGAAGAAGATAGTAGTAATAATATTGGTGATGCCATATTCCGGTGAGAGTAAAGCTGCGAAGAATATTCATTTTATTGCGAACACGACGGATCAAGTGAAAATACTGAGACACGAGTTGATTCAGAGTCAACTAAGGGGTCATTTAAATCGGCCTCAAGATGGTTGTTATTTCTTTTTACACAAAGGGAGAGTTTTCAATGAAGATCAGTCATTCGAGTGTTGGTCACACCGATACAGTTGAGATCGTTCCCGACCCGTGGCTCTATTAGGTCACAACTCTTTGGATTCAGAAAGAGGTCTCTAGCAACATTGTATGTCCATACATAGAACAACTATGATACATTTTGAAATAAAACGTTATGTTCAAAGTTTGCTTTACATTTCACAGCTTTCTACAAAAATAATTTTAATCACCGATACGAATTTTGAGCTGAAACTTGGTTTTATTAAAGAATCTGTTGTCTAAAGCAGCGATCAAGCTTAGCTTTAAGCTCTGTGCATTCTCCAAAGAAAGACTTTTCTATCGGATGATGGCATAGAAGAAGTATAAGATCATATGACAAATCTTTGTTGGCAAAATTAAAGACAGAAATGTTAGCTTGCGTATCCAGGAGGACCCCAATCCGTATTGCAAGACTAAATACTACAAGTTTGATATGCCCAAAACAACTAAAACCTTAATATGGAATTGAGAGCAAACATAAGACATGGTCAAAATATGGTGTGTTTATCATTTTTGCCTCTCAACATTGGATTTAACCAGAAAACTTATGATGCAAATCAACAGTACATCAGTTTTGTCTATCTAGCGAGTTAGAACAACGACATAAACAAATAAAAGTGGAAAACTGAAAACCCTAGTCGTAAACTTCGATAACAAGTTACAATTAATTCACAAATCACAACAAGAGAAAACAACCATAATCAAAGAAATACAAGAAGAATTGATTTGATATGACATCGCCTGGGAAATATGAATCAAGCTAAAGAGTAAATAACTAAATACTGCAGAATCAAATACGCGACTTGGAATTTGAGGACAAAAAAAATCTTCGACCCATTAAAACTCATTTTTAATTTGAGGAAGAACAGAGACGGGTCAAATCTTCGAGTTAATGGGCCGGATCTTTTTTTTTAAAACGCTGCGTTTCGACCCATTTCAAGTTGTTTCATACACAAACGGTTTGGATCTTCGACGTGGCTTTCATTGACTTAAGAAACTCGTAACCGAGAAGGTTAATATAGGCCAAGCCCATATGAGGTCCATTTGATGTGTTAATTAAATGATATAAATACAAAATTCTACGTATCAAATGGCTCATCATTTGATACAGTAATGAAGTTTCTCGTCGAGATTATGAATGGCTCATCATTCGAGATTGAAGTGGATAACAGGGATACACTGTTAGAGGTTAAACAAAAGATCGAGAGGTCTCAACATATTCCCGTTTCCAAACAAACCCTTATCGTCGACGGCTTTGTTATTCTTCGAGAGGATCTTAATGTCGAACAATGCCAGATCGCCCACAATTCTCATATCCAACTCGACAACTCATGGGATCAGTAAGGTTCAAGATTCGCCGGTGATGGTAATTAAGAGGCGACAAGAATGTATCGACCAGCATGAAGATTGTGAGCAACAACAACAATGATCTAAAGATTCGCCTTGTAAATGATCCTTGCTTTTTTCATTTAAAGGATTTTGACTCCAAATTTATGAATATGTTGTTTTAAGTTGAATCTGATTTGGTGTTGTGGCGGCGTACAAACTTTTATGATCTTGAAATTAGGATTTTGCTACGCAAATCCATATAAAATTTATGTAGTTATCTTTAATAGAATTTGGATCATGATGTTGTGACGGCGGTAAAAGTTTTATTATCTTGAAACTAGGGTTTTGTTACACATATCCATATAAAATTTACAAATATACCCTTAGTATGATTTGAATTTTAGTGATATTGTGGCGGCGTAAAAACTTTTCTGATTTTGAAACTTTTATTAAATTATTTGTCCAATAATGAATGTAGACAAAGACAAGTTTAAATGGGAACAAGCCCAATATTTTTGTGGAGATTATGATATTTTACCTCTTCACTAAAAAAAATTAAAATTATCTTTCTGCAACATCAATAGTAATACTATAATTCTTAATTTTTACCATTTCTAATGAGTTCTACAACAGAGTCCTAAGATTATGGTGCGTTCATCATTTACCTTTTGGCAAATCGATTTACGCACATCAGATTTAACAAGGAGCTTGTGATTCTAATCACAACAGTAGATTATTTTTCTCTATCTAACGAGACAGAACAATAACACAATAAAATTGGAAACTTCAATAACAAGTTACATTTAATTCACAACAAAAGAAAAACAACCCAAATCGAAGAACAAAGAAGAATTGCTATGATGGAATTTAAAAGTAATTGGACAAAGATTGTAGAATCATTACGCGAGCTGATACTGAGGAAGAACAGAGACGGGTCAACTTTTCGGGCTAATGGGTCAGATCTAAATGTTTCTTGAAACGCTACGTTTCAACCATCCTATTTCGAGGTGAATCGTAAACAAAATAATGCTTACTTTACAACCGTTGGATCATACTGGTAAAAGGAACTAACGACGGTTAAGATTCATTGACTTAAACCCCAAGTTATGTGACATTTTTCTCTCTCCCTCTCTCTATTCACTTTCTTCTTCATCAATCTCTCCATTGATCTTGAAACACCACTGATAGAATTATGGATGTGTACTTTGAAACTCAGACGAGCACAAAGTTTTACATTGAATTAGGTTACTGGGACACAGTGTTGGAGATCAAAAAGAAGATCGAGAAGTATCAACGTATCTCTGTTCCCAGACAAACCCTTTTCTTCCGATGCAAGGTTCTTGAAGACGATCTTGATATCGAACAATGCAAGATTCTCCAAGACTCTCGAGTCCTACTCTTCGTCTCTCCGGACCCTTGTGACCCTAATGACGGCAACGATCAAGTTCTTCAAACGGAGGAATCTCCTATACCGTCAAACTCAATCGGAGATCTCATTTACGGTGAGGATTTGCCTTTGACAACTGAAGTTGTCTTGAAAATTCGACCTTTTTGCCCTGTTGAAACCGGTGAAATCATTTACGTTCAAGATTCGCCGGTGAGAAACAACGATCAAGCTCCACCGTCAGACGCAGCAAAACAGATCATCAACGGTCATCAAGATTCGACTGTGACGGCTCATCAAGAACTTCAAACCAAGCAATCTCCACCGTCAGACTCGGTTAGAGATCATTAACATTCAAGATTCGTCTGTGAAGGTGAGCAAAAACATGAAGAAGATAGTAGTAACAATACTGGTGATGCCGAATTCCGCTGAGATTAGTCTTTCTTGAAGCTTTTATTAGTCTTTTCTTATAGCTTTTTGTTTTTCTTGAAGTTTCTTGCTTTGTTCCAAGTTTTCTTTAGGTTTCTGTATATATTCTATGACATGTAATTACCAATAAAGATTTGTTAGCTGGAACTTGTTGTTATTGAATAGTTTTAAGTTCTCTGCATTCTCCAAAAAACATTTCCGATCGGATGGTCTATATCATATTCTTCACAGAAGGAAAATAGCACATCGCCACATCAATGACATCATATCAAACAACACAACCAATATGACTTAAAAGGTTATTAGAAATCTAGTAAAGATCGAAAGGAGTTTCGTTGAATGAATCTCCCAATTTCGGATTGAACGAGAAATTCTTTCTGATCTAATTAATCACCAGTAGATAATTTTTATCTATCTAACGAGGCAGAACAGCCATAAAAATAGGAAAGCTAAAAAAACCCTAATAGAAAGCTTCAATAACAAGTTACAGTTATTTTAAATCAAGAGGAAAAAAACTAATCGAAGGGGTACGACTAAAGAACAAAGGAGATGGATTAAGCTAAAGTTTGTAGAATTGATATGCGAATTAGAATTGGGACGAGAACAGAGACAGTCATTGTAAAAAAAAAAATTACCAATGGATTTGTATAGTAAGAAGAATATGTAGTTATTGAGTATTGGCGATTTAGGTTCTTGACGAGGCTTCCATTGACTTAAGAAACACGTAACCGAGAAAGTTAATATGGGCCAAGCCCAAATCTGGTCCAATTGATACGTTATAAAAACAAAATTCTACGTAAATTTGCTCTACAAAACTTTATCTCGCTCTTTCTTCAGTGTCTTCTTCATCCGTCTCTCTCTATTGATAAAGTTATGAAGTTTCTCGTCGAGATTCTGAATGGATCATCGTTTGAGATTGAAGTGGATTACAGAGATACACTGTTAGAGGTCAAACAAAAGATCGAGAGGTCTCAACGTATTCCTGTTTCCAAACAAACCCTTATCGTCGACGACATTGTTATTCTTCGAGAAGATCTTAACGTCAAACAATGCCAGATTGTCCACAATTCTCATATCCAACTCGACGTCTCTGCTGATGATGATAACCCTAATCGCAACGATGACGATCAAATGCCGCAAACCGAGCAATCTCAAGCACCATTGGTTTCAGCGGAAGAGTACTTTGAGGGACAAGAGTGGCCTTTGACAGAGGAAGAGATCAGAAAGATTTATAGTTATCAGCCTGAGACAACACAAGGGATCAGTAAGGTTCAAGATTCGCAGGCGATTGTAAGAAGCGACAAGAACGTCTCGACGAGCATGAAGGTTGAGAGCAACAACAACAATGATCAAGTGCAATATCCACCGTCGTTGCTCAATATTCGCTTTGGAAACCTGCGAAGATGAGGGAGTGACGAGATCTTTGGAAATCTTTCATTATTATCTTCAATGTGTGAAATTTTTATTTTTTTCTTTATCTTCAGTGTGTTTAGTATCCTTTTTTTTTTTAAGTTAGTTTAGATAATTATAGATTCTTCAGATTTTATCAAAGGTTTTGGTTTTATTTTTTTAATAAATAGCTCATTATTTCTCGTTATTTCATGAAGTTGGTGTTTAGTTGAGATATAATAAAAGAGGGATGATAAACTAATAAGCATATGCATATTATCTCTTTTTTTTTTCTTTTTTTGCATATGCATATGCATATTATCGATGTGTCAAAGATAATAAAAATCATATAAAACATCAGTAAAAATCCTCTTAAGCAAAATTCCTTTGTTGATTGTAAACACCAAACGAAAACTTTCCGATTGCGTTACACTTTAAAATATTTTTGCTAAGTTGAAACAAACGTCAAAGTAAGCTAAATTTGTTTTTTATTTTATTTTTGCAGTGTGATGATGTGATCTCTAAAATGAAATATATTTTATCATATTTTTAAATAATTGTTTTTTTTTTTTTTTCGTCAAGACTTATTTTATTAAAATACCAAATCATTACACAGAAGTTCCTCCAGCCATATTGGCGGAATCAATGAATCGGGAAGGAAAAAAGAACTTGAACAAGCAAATTTAGCAAGACTATCTGCTACCCTATTACAAAATCGTTTAACAAAATTAAACCTTATATGTCTAAACTTGTCTTTCCAAAAATCTATGTCTTGCAGCAGGTTCTCTATTTCACTATGCATGATGTCTCCGTTGATTGAATTGATCAATAATTCACAGTCTCCTTCAAAAATTACTTGGGTGAATCCTCGTATCCATACTTGATGCATTGCAGTCAGAATTGCTTTCGCTTCGGCCATCAACGGAGAATTTGCACCGTTCAAATCCAAAGATCCCCATGCTTTTGTTGTACCTTGTTGATCACGGATAATCCATCCTCCACGAGCATACGATGATATTTGGCTAAAACTGGCATCAAAATTACATTTCACAAAGGGAGGTTCCGGAGTGGACCATTTTGGCTGTTCTCTGTTGGTAGATTGTGGCATCGAAGATAATACCAACTTCGTAGCAGTGTTTTTGATCCACTCATTTGTCTCTGCTTTTGCTTTCAAAACTACCTTTGATGGGCTTTCTATGAAATGATTAAACACAAAATTGTTTCTCGCTTTCCATATCGTCCAAAGAATCCAAAACTGAGATAGTTTTTGTTCATTAGTTGTGTGTGAAGAGTCATAAACATCTAGCATTTTAGAAATATTTTCTTCCACATCATTGAAAGGCTAATGATATTGGAAGGCCGGTGTGCCTGAGAGGCGCCAGGTCATTATTGCAAAAGGACATGTAAAGAGAGAGTGATTTATCGTTTCATCTCCATTACAACATCGAGAGCACTGTGAATTCAGTTTCATACTTCTAGTGTTTAATCGGGTGTTAGTAGCCAAAGCTTTTGATAAAATTCGCCAAAGGAAGTGTTTGATTTTTGGAAGTAGAGGAAGCTTCCAAACTCTGTTTTTCAATTCGATAGACCCATGAGGGATCGGAGGAGGAACTTGTGAATCGCCAGGATCATGTGTTAATAGCCAATAACCCGATTTGACAGTATACATTCCGTTATCGCTGTAATTCCATATTGGTTTATCCGGTTTTGGGATTCTCGAGAGGTAAATGTTATTGATGAATGAATGATCATTTGTATTAACCATTCTATCAAGTAAAATAGAATCCCAAAATCGGAAAGTCCCAGTACTTGAAATTAACGACTTTAAAGTATCCCTTTCAAAATTTTGATTCACCTGTAGAGTTCTTGGTTGATGTGAGCTTATCAAATTGTCAATCCCCATTCTGATCGTGTTTCCATCACCCACTTGAAAACGAGAACCTTTTTTTATAAGTGCTAATCCTGTAAGCATTGACGCCCAACCATACGACTGATAAGCCCTTTCTTTTGCATCCAACACTGTGTCATCTTTGAAATATCGAGCTTTCATTAATCTTGCAAAAAGGGAGTTCGGATTTTGGATCATACGCCAAACTTGTTTTGCTAAAAGTGCATCATTGAATTTTGCTAAATCTCTAAAGCCCAATCCTCCTTCCTTTTTCGAATATTGTAGCCTTTTCCAAGCTATCCATGGAATCCCTCTCTTTTTTGAGCCTTTCTCCCACCAATAATTCATTAGCAAGGATTCAATTTCGTTGACCACACCAATAGCAAGGATTTAAATAATTGTTTATTCACTTTTCTACCTCCCAATCTCCTTCTTTGTTCTTTAATTTTCTTCTATTTGCATTTTTTTTTTTTTATCAAATTCTACTCTTTGATATAGTTAACTTTCATATGTTTTTTGGAAAAAAATCTAATAATTTTGAACATCTAATTTACTAGTCATTTGGACTTAAATCCTAGTTGCCACAAAAAAAATTTGGATATACACATAGACATACGTAGATTGCACAAGCCTAAGAGCATTCACAGTGGAAGTCTCTCAACAATATTAAAAAGGAAAATAATAAAAAGGAAGAATGAGAAACGAGAATCGATTCTCAAATGAGAACATATGAGAACCTTTCTAGAGACCCCTTTCACACATGGCAAAATTTGATTGACTTTGATTTTTCTTTTTAACTTTTAATATAAAACAACAATTAAATTATATTAAAAATATTAAAATAATATTTTTTGAGAGACTCTATGAATCTCTACCACTGCTCATGCTCTAATAACACTGAGAGCATGATTAACAATGGTATCTTAAAAATGGTTTAGAAGTATTAAATTAATAACCGGGCCTTGTGGCCTAGTGGTAAAGGGGTCACAGCTGTGACTTCCGCCACCAGAGTTCGAGGCACGGCCACTGGCAAGTTTACATAGGGGAATTGCCAGCCTCGTGAGATTAGTCCTTGGGCCTAGGAAGCCTTTGGGAGACCCGCGGTTATTCAAAAAAAAAAAGTATTAAATTAATAATATGACATGTGGTTGGTTCTTAAGATTAGTTTTGGATCTTAGCTAAACCACTTTTCTTAATTTTGGGTCTTAGCTAAGTCACATTTCTTACTTAAGAACTCTTTAAGATATCCGTATTAATGGTGGTCTGATGAGTTCCTTTTTGTGCTCTGTTTCTTCTAGTTGCAGGATCGGTTAAAACAGACTAACGGTTGCTCCTCTCTTATGATGACACGTGTCATATGATGAGTTCCTATCAACGGTTTAAATTTTTCGATGAGGCTTTCATTGACTTAAGAACCACGTAACCCAAGAAATATGGGCCAAGCCCAATTGACTTTCATTTGATACGTGAGTGAAATGATATAAAAACCAAATTACAAAACAATCACTTTCTCTCTTGCTCTCTCTCTGTTTCTTGACTCTCTTCTTCACCAGTCTCCATTGATCTTGAAACACCATTGATACAGTTATGAAGTTCCTCGTCGAGATTCTGAGTGGTTCATTGTTCGAGATTGAACTGGATCGCAAAGATACATTGTTAGTGGTCAAACAGAAGATCGAGAAGTCTCAACGTATCCCAGTTTCGAAACAAACCCTTATCGTCGACGGTATTTTTATTCTTCGAGAGGATCTTAACCTCGACCAATGCCAGATCGTCCACGATTCTCAAATCCAGCTCGAAGTCTCTCCTGACGTGAACCATAATCACAACGGCAACGATCAAATGCCGGAAACAGAGCAATCTCCAGCACCGTGGATTTCAGTTGAAGAGTACTTTGAGAGGAAAGGTTGGCCTTTGACAGCCGAAGAGATCAGAAAGATTTACAGTTATCGGCCTGAGACAATGCTAGACATCAGTAAGATTCAAGATTCGCATGTGACGGTTGGGAGCAGCAACAAGAATGATCATCAAGTGCTTCATCAAACAGAGCAATCTCCACCGTCAAACTCAGTCAAAGAGACCATTAACATTCAAGATTCGTCTGTGAAGTTTGCGAATAAGAACAACAACGATATAGTGCCTCCACAGTCAAACTCAGTCAAAAATATCACTAAGAGCAACAAAAGAGGCCGGAAGAAGAGGAAGATGGTAGTAGGTGTGTCGCCATATTCTGGTATGAATGAAGTCCCGAAGAATATTCTGCTGACTGTGATATCTACGGATGAGGTGAAAACACTGAGAGACGAGATGGTTCATAGGGAACGGAGAGGTGATATAGAACTGCCTCAAGAAGGGTATTTCTTTACACACAATAATCAAGTATTGAACGAAGATCAGTCATACGAGTGGAACGGTGTTAAACCCGTGGATACAATTGTGATGGTTCCCACACATGTTATCCAAGAGACCTGTAAGATTCAAGATTCTTCTGTGACGGTTCAAGTGCCTCAAACGGAGCAACCTCCAGCGTCAAACTCAGTCAGAGAGACCGTTAACACTCAAGATTCGTCTTTGAAGGTTGGGGGCAAGAAGAGCAACAAAAATGATCAAGTGCCTCAAACGAAGCAATCTCCACAGTCAAAATCAGACCAAGAGATCACTAGGATTCAGATATGTCTGTGAAGGTTGGGAGCATGTTAGTACGTGTGTTACCGATAAATATTCTAGTGAAAGTGAACGCTACGGATGACGTGAAAAAACTGAGAGAGATGTTGTTTCAGCGTCAACAGAGAGGTCAGATACAAAAACTGCCTCGAGATGGGTATTTCTTGACGAACAAAAAGAAAGTATTGAAGGAAGGTCAGTCATACGAGTGGAACGGTGTCAAAAACGCGGGTACAATAGTGATTGTTCCCAGACGTGTTACCCAAGATACCAGTAAGATTCAAGATTCGTCTGTGACGGTTGGGAGAAGCAACAGGAATCAAGAGCTCCAAGCAGAGCATATCATCAACAGACCTCAAGATTCGACTGTGACGGTTCAAGTGCATCAAACGGAGCAATCTCCAGCGTCAAACTCAGTACTCAGTCTCGAAGAGATCTCTGACATTTTAAATGCGCCTGATAATGACCCGAAGCAGAAGAAAAAAGTATATGTGATGCCATTTTCAAGTGAGTGTAAAGGATTGAAGAGATTTATTGAGGTGGAAGTGAGCTCGACGGATCAAGTGAAAATACTGAGAAACGAGTTGGTTGAAAGTATTCGGAGGGGTTATATAAAACTGCCTCATGAAGGATATTTCTTTGCGGACAGAATGAAGGAGAGAATATTGAATGAAGATCAGTCATTCGAGTGGAACGGTGTTCTTGGTCCAGCCGAAACAGTTTATATGGTTCCCCGACGTTATGAGTCGTCTTTTACTCGTGCCTCTTAAGTCACAGTTTTCTTTGGATTCAAAAAAGTTGTTTAGAAATTTTGTATATCCAGACACAAAAACTATGCATGATACATTCAGCAACAGAAAGTTATGTGGATTTTATCCTATTTGTAGGTTTTACTCTTTGCTTATAGGTTTTAATCTTTTCTTCAAGTTCTCTTGTTTTGTTCAAAAGTTTGCTTTCTATTTCACAGCTGAAACTTGTTGTTGTTATTGAATTCCCTTTAAAGCAGCGATCAAGCGTCACTCACAAGTTATAAACCCTAATTGCAGCAAACACAACATGGAAACACTAGCAGCACAAAGATTAACAGAAAGAGACCATCAAATATTTAGTAAGAAGACTAGAAGAGCTAACAAGAATGAAAAAATTATTGGACGAAGCTTTATTGGACTGAAGAAGAAGTCACGAGTGTTAAATATGGCCCAGGCCCAAATGAGGTCCATTTATATATACTAAACCGAGTCACCCAAACAACTTGCCTTTTAATTAGACTCGTTCACCTTCACCAACTTGATCCAAAAAGTCTCTTATGCAAATCATGCAAAAATATCCAATAACACTAATAAAATGGATTATTTCACAATTTGTTTTATGATAAAAAGTTACTTTTCCTAGAAAATCTCTGATTTTATACCCACTTGCATTAGAAAATGGCAAAAAAAAACAAAAAAAGGAAGAAAAGACGAGATAGGCTTTGATGAAGTGGGACCCGCAGTTTAATTATTGCCAATTTTCAGCTCCACCGTTTATTAAAAAAATTAAAAAGATAACACCAAATACTACATATCGTGACGATCGTTAACTCTCAACGTCTGGATCTTATAACGGCCGTTAGAAATTGTGGTTGTCGACAAGTTTGTAAATAAACGGCGTTAAAGTGGTTGAAGCCGGCAACGAGACGTGTTTATCAACTCAAAGCACATATACTTTTCCTAACCTACAAATAAGGTAATTAGCCAAAAAAAAACTTTGCGTCTAAACAACGCTCAATACACGTCATTATACATACGTGTCAATTTATTATTGGTTATTGCTTCACCGCCTTAGCTTTCTCGTGACCGAGTCGTCTTCGTCTTCTCTTTCCTATAAATGAATACCCAAAGACCTCATCTTCTTCACAATTCAGATTCCAAATTTCTCAAACAATCTAAAATCATTCTCTCAAATCTCTCAACCGTGATCAAGGTAGATTTCTGGGTTCCTTTTCAGTTTCTTCGTATTGTTTCGTTCGATCGTGATTGAGTTTCTGTTCTTTGAATTTCATTCGGTTAATCTTAAAAGTTCTGAGTTTCTTCGTTAGATCTCATCTTAATTCTCGATTAGGGTTCGTTGTTTTCGTTGATCTGTTTATTTTCTCGTCGATTCTTTGAATTTGATCCGATTTTTTCAACGAATTTGAGTTTTATCTTTGAGATCTATCCAGATCTGGTATTAGTTTCTTGATCGGATTTGATTCTTATTTGTGCGATCGGATTTGTCGACTAATCTCAATTTTTTTCTGAAATACAGATGCAGATCTTCGTTAAAACTCTCACCGGAAAGACTATCACCCTTGAGGTGGAAAGCTCTGACACCATCGACAACGTTAAAGCCAAGATCCAGGACAAGGAAGGCATTCCTCCGGATCAGCAGAGGCTTATTTTCGCCGGAAAGCAGTTGGAGGATGGCCGTACGTTGGCTGATTACAACATCCAGAAGGAATCCACCCTCCACTTGGTTCTCAGGCTCCGTGGTGGTATGCAGATTTTCGTCAAGACCCTAACGGGAAAGACGATTACTCTTGAGGTGGAGAGTTCTGACACTATCGACAACGTGAAGGCCAAGATCCAGGATAAGGAAGGTGGAGAGCTCCGACACCATTGACAACGTGAAGGCCAAGATCCAGGATAAGGAAGGTATCCCTCCGGACCAGCAGAGGTTGATCTTCGCCGGAAAACAGTTGGAGGATGGTCGTACCTTGGCGGATTACAACATCCAGAAGGAGTCGACCCTTCACTTGGTGTTGCGTCTCCGTGGAGGTATGCAGATCTTCGTCAAGACTTTGACCGGAAAGACCATCACCCTTGAAGTGGAGAGCTCCGACACCATTGACAACGTGAAGGCTAAGATCCAGGACAAGGAAGGTATCCCTTTGGACCAGCAGCGTCTCATCTTCGCTGGAAAGCAGCTTGAGGATGGTCGCACTTTGGCCGATTACAACATCCAGAAAGAGTCTACTCTTCACTTGGTCCTCCGTCTCCGTGGTGGTTTTTAAAACTCGTCTCTGTTATGGTTTAAGAAGTTTATGCCTCGTTTCTTTTAAAACTTTGGTGGTTTGTGTTTCTGGGGCCTTGTAAAGCTCCTGATAAATAATTGATGAACTATGTTTTCGATCCGTTAATCTCCTCTTTCTTCCTAATGACAAATCGAACTAATTTTCAATTGCAATTATGTCCTTGGATTCACTTCTATCATCGTTATCTCTCTACACGATGTGCTATCTTCTTAGTATGCACTATCCGAAATATAACCGTTAAAAGCACAACAGAATTAGTCATAGGGCCTTGGTTAGCTAGGCGTCAGCATACCCAATCTGCAATTTAGAAAGAAAGATTACAGTCTAACAATCCCATGAGATCTAATCAAAACTGACACATTTACACATGACATACTTAAATGACTTCAAAAACAAAGAATGATATCATACAAGTCCAAATAGAGAGTTTAGGACTTGGTCTGCAGAGAACAGGGAAAGGAGGTTTCTCGTTTCCTGCATCGTTCATAACTTTGGCTTGGAACTCATCAAGAGGTCCATTGGGAATTTAGGATACTCTCGAGCCGGGAAAAGGGGATTTTCATACCCGTACTATCTATACCGTGGATTTTTATACCTGGACAATTTCGTAGTGTATTTTACAACCTAAACTTCAATAAAATTTGAATTTCATACCTATACTTGATACAACGTGCAAAAATCGGAGTCAATCTAACGAGTGTTAGTCAACTCCGTTACAGTGCTGAGTCATCGTACACGTGTACGCTGACATGTATGAAAACGACGTCGTTTTCATACCCGTACTGTCTGTGCCGTGGATTTTCATACCTAGACAATTTTGTAGGGTATTTTACAACCTAAACTTCAATAAAATTTGAATCTCATACCCTATACTTGATACAACGTGTAAAAATCGGAGTCAATCTAACGGGTGTTAGTCAACTCCGTTACGGTGCGTATCGAAACGTCGTCGTTTTCTCATTTCTTCTTCTTCTTCTCACAAATTAGGCATGAACAAAGTTTTACCATGTGACTACGGCTTCGCACAACTTTTAGGGTTTATAAGTTAAAAAGATTGAGGAATACTCGATGAACGTTGTGGATCAGTTGTATTCGGTGCTTCCCATGTGACTACGGCTCGCGGGTTCGAGTCCCCACTTTTGCAATTTATTTCTACTTCGTGAACACATATCAAAATGAGGTCGGTTCGATGCGCACCGTGACGGAAGAGACTAACGCCCGTTAGATTGATTACAATTTTTACACGTTGTATCAAGTATAGGGTAAGAGATTCAAATTTTATTGAAGTTTAGGACGTAAAATACCCTACAAAATTGTCTAGGTATGAAAATCCACGGCACAGACAGTACGGGTATGAAAACGACGTCGTTTTGATACATGACAACGTACACGTGTACGATGACTCAGCACCGTAACGGAGTTGACTAACACTCGTTAGATTGACTCCGATTTTTGCACGTTGTATCAAGTATAGGTATGAAATTCAAATTTTATTGAAGTTTAGGTTGTAAAATACCCTACGAAATTGTCCAGGTATAAAAATCCACGGTACAGATAGTACGGGTATGAAAATCCCCTTTTCCCCTCTCGAGCCATAAACGTTATATAATAAGAATTCCATCTAGAATTCAATAACTCTCACAATCTCTACCAATTCCACAGTCTTTCCCTAGGAAAGAATAAAAAATAAAACCCAAAATTGAACGACTCCAAAATGAAAAACTCAACATCAACCAAATCACTAACCTTCCCATCGTTTAATTTCTTAACATACAAGTTAGCAAGATTTGTCATCAACTCCCGAGCAGTTCATGTTCCGATACGCTATTTCTTCAACATCTTGGCTCGATTCAGGAGCCATGATTAGAGGAGACCCTAAACTAGCTCTTAGAAAAACAATTCGGGAATTTCCAGGAACTGGAACTTACAGGAGTAGGTTGAGCTTTATTATTTTGTAATGAAATTAACACATTATTCCAACACCTTTAAACAAAAGATCTTTTTCCAAACTGAGTTTGATTCAAATCAAAAAGTGTCAACAAAGGAAACACTTTTAAATGAATATAAATGCATAGAGAGATTCTGGAGAAGAAAGTAGACGACGGAATCAACACATGTGAGAATTCGAGACGGATCGTGTTGTTTCCTATCAAACGAAATCCATAATCATAACATTCACAAGCCCAACAAAAAAAAACATTTTAATAATTCCGGCCCAAGCCCAATCACACAAGTAGTTAAGCTGAGTTTAGGTCTTCACTATTTAAAGCTCGTAAACCCTAGACTTGGATATTCTTCAGTCCAGCCGCAAGAAGAAGAAGAAGAAGCGTGAGTTTTCGTTCCTCTCTTCTTTTCGTTTCTCTCTGATTCTCTTCGCTGCGATCTCGTTTGAGTATTATTAGATTTCTTGTGAGTTTTCTCTCATCGTGTGTTCTGCTGCTAGCTCCTGGAAATATTCTAAGTTCGTTGTTTTGTTCATTTTGAGGTTTAGAGTCCTTTGATTTGTTGTTTGTTCTGCTGTAGATATTTATCCTTGGAATGAGTAAGATTAGAGTTTCAGTGATGAAGCTTTTCGTTTATTTGATTGATGTCCTTACTGATTACGACTGTAAATGATATTTTGATGCCTTTTTCCACCGTAAATTGTAGACAAACCCTAGAAACTTGGATTCTTCTGAGAGTTTGAAATTTGACAGAGCAGTGAGATAAACCAGTTGGATGATTTTTATTAAACTCATCCAAGAAATGATCCTAATCCAGCTGAGTCTGATCGGAGCAGTTAACTGGAGCTGCTTCAGTCTAAAATAGAAAAGGACCTAAATACCCCTATCAAATTTAGAGAATTACACCAAAACCTAAACCTTCTTCTCCTTCTTCTCCTCATCCTCGACACATAACATTCCTTTGGCCATCTCTGTAGAGAAGAGAAACGAGATCTCTTCTTCGCCGGATCTCTTCGTCGCATGATCTCCTCCGCCGGATCTCTCACCGGAATCCACTCCTCTTTGATCTTCTCACCCCACTCCACTCCTCTTTGATCTCTTCGCCGGATCTCTTCTTCTCTCTCTCGTGCGTGGGTTTAAGGTGTTACAGATTGAATTAGCTGCGACCACTGTTTGAGAGGTAAGACTCATGGGTTTGATTATTGGATTCGATTTCTCTTTTAGTCATTGAAATTTCGAAGTGGGTTTCAGGTGTTACCGATTGAAATCGCTGCAACCACTGTTTGAGAGGTATGATATATCTCTATTTCATGATTTTGTATTGAGTTTATGTGTACCAATGGAGATGAGTGTTGTGGCTTTGTTTGATTTCGTGTTTCTAATGCTTATAGGCTATGTTTAGTGTGGAGGTTGCTGCTACTATGTTTAGTTTCATAGTAAAAGAGAAGTTACCAGAGAGTTACAATGGTTCTGAATAAACCATAAACCATATAGGGAGAAGAACAATAGTTTCTACTGTTTTGAGTGATTTTACAATGGTTTTGATATGTTGCTTACATTCAATGAGTGTCTTTCAATGTCTCTTATGAAGTAGTTTTTTTCTATGTGTCAATGTTTCAAGGTTTATTTTGTGTTTATTTCTTTCTTTACTCAATGAGTGTCTTTCAATGTCTCTTATGAATCCAAAGAAAGCTGTCTCTATTTCTTTCTTTGACTTTCAATCGCAAGTATGTGTCAGCGTCTATGTTTCTGGTTTTAGCTCATTAAGGCACAATAATTGACTATCTAATTAGTCTTCTACCATCAAATTTCTTGAAGACCACAGAGAGCTTTGCAATGAATTTTAGATTGGTGTTTGCATGTTTACTATTGTATATTTGTACTATTACTCTATGGTTTAGACTTTAGAAATCGTTTCTGGAAGAACATTGGTTTGGTTTTCTGGTTATGACTTTTCTTGTGGTTCCCAGTTTTGATGGAATTGTTTGCTTGTTTTGTATAGCTGTAATGCTTTTTATGGATATTAAAAATGTATGTTTCCCTTTTTAGATTCATGTTTTGGAGCTAGAGATTTTTAATGGATGAACAGAGAGTTAATTAGTTCTACATTTGCTTATATAGATGCTATCTTTTTGGTAATAAATGTCAAATATAATAATTTGAAATTTGTTTGGTTGTAAATATATATATTTGATCAATAATTAAAATTAATATGGTTAAGATTAAGACTTAAAATATAATTAGATGAAAACATGGGCATTTTAGTCATTTTTCTAATCAAAAGCATCTAGATGAGAATGGTTTTCAACCAAACAAACAAAGTTTTAACCAAAAGCAGTTAGATGGATCATCCAGATGAACCACCAAAAATGAAAACGAAAATCATTCAGATGGATTAGCCAGATAGATCATTTGGATGGAGCATTTGGATGCATATCCCAAATGAGCAAACGAACAACACCATCCATGAAATATTACTAGATTCGTATCTGTTTTACTTTATTTATGTTAGCTATAGCATCGGGATGGTCTTTTGTTTTGCTGCGATCTCGTTTGAGTTTTCTCTCATCGTGACCGACGTCGTCTTCGTCTTCTCTTGTATATAAATGAATACCCAAAGACCTCATCTTCTTCACAATTCAGATTCCAAATTTCTCAAACAATCTAAAATCATTCTCTCAAATCTCTCAACCGTGATCAAGGTAGATTTCTGGGTTCCTTTTCAGTTTCTTCGTATTGTTTCGTTCGATCGTGATTGTTTCGTTCGATCGTGATTGTTTCGTTCGATCGTGATTGAGTTTCTGTTCTTTGAATTTCATTCGGTTAATCTTTGATCGGAGACAAAGTTCTGA